AATTTCTTTTACTATTCCATGTTCTCAAAACTACTTAACCTAATTGTATCATTAATATTAGATATGTGTATGTGGTCAATGTCTGGTAAATAATAGACCCTCAGTGAAGGAGAGCTATTGCTATTATTTATTAATACAATTGTTGATTCTAGTACTAAAAACAAGAGGCATTTTTTTATTCACATTTTCATAGCATTAATATAATTGTTTTTATAATTTTCCATGTTTTTACTTTGCTTATATGCATACATATTTTTACATGGATTGTATTCAGTCAAACTTTCCTTTGGCCAAAACCAGAATTATAATTCTAATCAGCCACTTTATTTATCAGACTTGGCATTAACTGACTTCACTTACGGTTGTTGAAGAAAAATCAAATCCATCCTTTAAAGAAGCTATACTGCCACTTAAGATATTCTAAAGAACAAGATCAAGGCATCTACCTTAAAAATAAATATTCCTCAATACCCACCCTCCCTTCAGAGAACTCTACAAAACAGGTTTTACTTTTATCTTTTAAAGCACAGTAACTAAATCTCTTAGCCACCAATCTCAGTGTTTTTAGAGAGGAACCAAAGGCAAAGGGATGCTAATTTCTTTAGAATTCCAGATATCCCAACAGGGGGAACTGAACTAAAATTTCACAGCCTTTAAATTATAATTTCTCAAGTTACTTCTAACTAGATAGGCTTTGCATTTCCAGGCTCTCAACTCCAAAACAGACCTGAGATGATAGCAATGAAAAGCTTCCCTAAATCTCTCATCAATTGTGCAGGTAACTCCATTTTGAATTCCAAGTGAAGAATCTGGGAGACATTTTTCAGAGTTATTTTTATCTTGATTTCTCTGGTGAAGTGACTGAGAGATAAAGCAACTGTGCCAAAGGAGTCTCCTCTGAGAAGCATGAGTGAGGAAGAGGCCACTCTGCCTGCAATTTGGATAGGCTGCCGGCAGATGGAGTGCTGGCTAACCCTAGGGTGTCTCCAGGTATCCCGCTGCCGTGAGTCGATTCCGGTTCATAGTGACCCTGTACCTACAGGACAGAGTAAAACCGGGTTTCTAATATGGACCTTCAGCCTATCCTATAACCATAGGAATCTTTACGGAAGCAGACTGCCACATCTTTCTCCCGTTGAGCTGCTGGTGGGTTCAAACTGCTGACCTTTTGGTTAGCAGCTGAGCACTAATCACTGAGTTACCAGGGCTCCTTTCTCCAGGTATAGATTCTATAATAAGAACAGGATGACTCATGGGAAAAAGAATAGGGGTGTTGAGAAAAGTGATGAGATGTTGGGGAGATCTGAGGTCTACTAAATGACTATTTTAAGATCTAACTCCCCGACGACATGGGTAGCCACTGAACAGTAATTTCTGTGATACCAATAATATTGCTCTGAATATAAACAAAAGAATCAACATTTCCAAATTTTAAATAAGTTTACCGGGACACTTACTTTTTTAAAATTTTGTTGCGCTTGGCTTGAGAGAAGGTTTCAAGCTGAAGGGACTCATGGGTGAGAAATGCTACGGCCAAATGGAAGTAATTGTTCCAGAGCTGTTCAAAATTAATTGTGTGGGTGAAAATAAATGAAAAATAACATTAACAAGGGTCATATTAAAACAGTGCCAAATGGTGAAAAGCCACTAGACAAGAATTAATGAAAAAACAAGATAAAATCCACAAGA